TGTTTCAAAATTTAAAAAAAGGGGGCTGAGAGATGTAGCTTAGTGATTAAGAAAAAATGCTGGGTTTGATCCTCAGTACCACACAAAAAAAGTGGTAATGTAGCTAAGAAGTAGAGCACTTGCCTAGTATATATGAACCCCTGGGTTCAATCCCCACTACTGTCAAAAAATTCTATTTCTTTAAATGTAAAATTGAGTGACCAGTGAATTATTTCCCATGAAAACATTTAGTGACAAATCTCTGAATTATGCTCATATACATCATAGTTATTTGGGAGAATTACTATAGACTGAAAAATCCCCCATTGTCCTTCCTTTATGAACAGATCCTGGCTGTGTCATTGATACAAAGGAAATAGCTCTGCAACCATCAGAGGAGCTGTGAGACAAGAAAATTCCTATTCAGAATTACCTGGGATTAAAGCACCTGCAAGCAGGTGCAGGGGCCTGGGGTTCGATTCCTGGGCCTGTCGTGCTGGCCCTGCCCCCGAGGTGTGCTGAGATGGCAATTGAGACTGGGTATGGTGATGCCTGCCTGTAATCCCAGCTTTTGGGAAGCTGTAAACAGGCTGATCACTATGAGTCTGATCTAGTAGTGAGACCCTGAACACTCTATAGACCCTTCCCTAAAATACAAAAAACAAAAAAAAAAGAAAAGAAAAAAAGAATTATCTGTACCCCTCCACTATTTTGGTAAGGCATGAAAGTAGGTTTCATACAGTGGTCTCAGGTGACTTGCACCAAATATTAACAACAATGCTCTTTTTTGTAGTTTTGAGAGTAGATGTCCAGAAGTAAGATGAAAAGAAGTTGTAACCAGCAGCCAGCCCCTTAGGGGATTATTGGACAACAATAGTTCAGAGAGAAGGCCTCAAACATGGAGGAACCAGCTCTCCATGTGTTGGTTTCCTTGTACATTTAGGGGTAGGAGGAGGGCCCAAGCCACTCCTTGGATATTTGAGAGGAATGTTTCTTGGAGGTAGGTGAGTTCTGGAAAGCCAGTTGGAGTAAAATGTGAAACTTGAATTTTCTGAGATCTTATAAGTAGGCATCCCTTGGTTAAGGCAGTGTGAGAAGCTGTGGAAGAGGAAACAAATGACTCTATGTGGCTTTACCTTATTCTGATCCTGCTTCCCTGGTTCACCATTCTCTGGTTACCCTCACTTGCCATCTATAGGAAGAGCGGCAGACTGTTTATATCTGTGAATGCTTGCCTGTGTTGTTTGTGCTTCTGAGAATGTGCTTTCCTTCATTATTTACCTGAATAGGATAGTCCTTCCAAGTCTAGGTCAGTATTGATGAGCCTTTTAGAGCTTTCAGTGGTACCAACAGCCCACTGCAGTTGAAATAACTGCGGTGTGAGGGTAGATCTTATAAAACCTTATAAGCCATTGGGAAAAAAATGTGTATTCCAAGATGGGAGCCACTGGTGAGTTCTTTTTTTTTTCAGAGAATACAAAATAATGATAAAAAATAGAAATTTTACAGAATTTCATTAAACAAAAATAATATGAATTTGACAGATTTGTTATATTGCATAGTGTTGTCTTCAAATTAGTTTAGATTGTATATGCATGCAAAATTAGAAATTAGAAAAAAGAAAGGTTATAAGAAATTAAAAGAAAAATTTAAGCATTACCTCCTTTCCATAGCAGAAATCCACAGTACATCCATATATATAGATATAGCTCTTTCCCCTGATCTCTCTCCTGTCCTCATTCCTTTCTTTTGAAGAGATTCATTCCCTTGTCACAGTATCTATTGTAACTTTCAGATTCTTAAACTAATGAGACAATATGGTGTTTGCATATGCAAGTCTGATATATTTTACTCAAGAATATGGTCTCTAGTTGCATTCATTTACCAGTAAAAGCCTAAAGTTTATCCTTTTTAATAGCTAATGCTCCATTGTGTAAAACCACTACATCTTCTTTACCCATTCCTCAGTTGTTGGCATTTGGGTTGCTTCCAAGATTTAGCTATGACAAATTGTGCTGCTATCAACATGAATGCACATGTACTGTGATATGATGCTTTCAGTTCATTTGTAAAAATACTCAGGAGGGGAATAGGTGGGTTAAATGGGACCTCCATTCCTAGCTTTTTGAGAAGTCTTCACACTGATTTCCACAGTGGTTGTACCAATCTACACTCCCACAAACAGTGGAGAAGGGTTCCTTTTACCCTCACAACCCCTCCAGCATTTGTTATGGGTTGACTTCTTGATGATAGCCATTCTTTCTGGGGTGAGATGGAATCTGAGTGTTGTTTTAATTTGTATTTCTTGAATGACCAATAATGTTGAACAATTTTTCATGTATTTATTTGCCATTTGATTTCTTCATCTGAGAGGAGTATATTCATCTCAGGTGCCCAATTTTGGATTGGGTCTTTGACTTCTGGGGGCCTGATTTTTTAAATTCTTTGTATGTTCTGAATAGAAGGCCTTTGTCCAAAGGACATTTGGTGGGCCAGGGATGTAGCTCAGCAGCGTAGCAATTGCCTAGAAGGATGGTTGGCTATAATTTTTCCCAGCTCATGGGCTTTCTTTTTACTCTGTTGGTGATTTCTTTTGACATGCAGAAACTTTTCAAAAATGTTCTAGTTGTTGATTCTTGGAAGTATTTCCTGTGCAGTTTGGGTTTTGTTCATAAACTCTCCACCTTCTCCTATGTCTTTAAGATTTCTACCTCTTTTTTCTTCCAGAAGATTTAATGTGCTGTTTTAATATTTATATTTTTGACCCATTTTGATTGTAGTTTAGTGCAGGTGATAGACGTGTCTAATTTTAGTCTTTAGCATGTGAAAAGCCAGTTTTTCCAGCACCATTTATTAAAGAGACTATGTTTCTTCCTGTTAACATGTTTGGCCCTTTTGTCAAAGATAAGGTAGCTGAGTGTGTTTGTAGTTGTGTCTGCATATTCTGATATGTTCCACTGACCTCAGGTCTGTTTTTATACCACTGGTTAGCTGTAGATGACATGACCTGAGTTACAGTGTAGCTGGATTACCCTGACTTCTATGTTCAGAATACATAATAAACAGAGAAGGATATAAGCAGAAAATGGTGGCATTTTGGATGAAGGTGGTGGTGATTGTGGGAGTCAGAAGGAGTGGACAAGTTTTGTTTTGTTTTGTTTGTATTTTAGGGAAAGATCTACATAGTCATCCACCTGTTTGCAGCCTCCCAAGAGCTGGGATTATAGGTGCGCGGCACCACACTCAGTCTCAATTGCTGTCTCAGTGTGCCCTGCAGGTGGGGCTGGCATGACAGGCCTGGGAATTGAACCCCCGGCCTCTACTCCTGCTTGCAGGCTCTTTAATCTGCTGAGCTATTTGGCTGGCCCTAAGGATCAGTGTAGAAGATGGTATGAAATAAAATCTAATAACATTTACTGATTGAATAAAGGACATTAGGGGGATTCAAGTATGCTAAAGTTTTTGCTCCAAATAACAAGAATGGACAGGGCATGGTATGAAAAGAACAGGTTTGATAAAATCAATAAGTGTTTGACTTGACGTATATATGTTAAGTTTGAGATACTGAACAAACATGCAGGGGACAGGCTGACAAGGCTGTTGGTCATATACATCTGTTGTTTAGGGAACATATCTGGGCCAGAGATAGAAATTTGAGAATCACAAGAATATAGGTTGTTTAAAAATATCATGACACAAGATGATATCATCAAGGAATCTAGTGTAGTTACTAATAGAGAAGAAAGGTCAAGGTTTGTGCTTAGGGACACTAATGTCAAAAGACCAGAGAGATGAATAGAAACCAGAAAGTAGAGCAGTAGGCGGAGGAAAATCAGGCAAGTGTGATGTCCTGCAAATCACATGAGGAAGACAGTCCAAGGAGTGAGGAGTGCACAGTTGTAAAGTGAATGTGACTCAAACACATATATAGATCAAATAAGACAAAAACTCAGATTACTTGGTGGATTTGGCAATGATGCAGACCTGTCAAATCAGAATGTGCATAATACACACAGATGTGTGGGTCTCATCTCCAGAGATTTAGAATTAATTGGTCCAGGGTGCACCTGGACCAATTAAATCTCCTTAGTTCTAGCTTGCTTGCTGTCTGAGCATGCTCCGGGGCTGATGCCAGCATGGCAGGCCCAGGGCTCGAACCCCCAGCCCCTGTGCCTGCTTGCAGGCACTTTGAGCTGCTGAGCTATTTGGCCAGCCCTTCTTAGTTGATTCTGATGTGTATCACCTGTCATCATTTTGACTAAGGTCAAGTGTGATTCTAGTGTATAACCAAGGTTTAGGCCCATTGTTGACATTTTTATTGTGAAATGGCCTTATTGCCAGAAAAAGATGTTGCTGACTGATTACACACAGGAGTTTTTATCTATAGGTTTCTTGTTTGATACCTTGGGATCTGAAAATGATAAGGAGACCTGAAATCTGTATCAACTACTACAGGCATTTGCTTTGTAGCACCTGTCTTAGGCTTTTAAGCAGAAAATCTCTTTGCTTTATTTTTTTCTGGTGTTTGATTTTTGTTTTGTTTTCTTTATACACAAAAGACTTTGTTTTGAGTAACAAGGGTAAATTTCAAGTTATAAAAAAAGTTCATTATGATGTCATATCTAACACTAAACAATAAATAATTCCTAAATGCCGATCTTCATATTTTCCCAATTGTTTAATTTTTTTTACAATGAGTTTGTCTGTGTCATAATCCAAAATCTATATGTTGCATTTGGCTAATTAAAACTTGTCTTTATTATATTGGTTTCCGTTTATTTTTTGTTTTCATATATTTTATTTGTTGGAGATAAGATCAAGTAAGGACTGAGTGAACTTACATGAGGCTTACTGAAGTCAACCTTAAGCAGTTGCTATATGTGAAAATAAAAGTTGAAATATTAATTAGAATATTTTTCCTTTAAAACACAATACCCTCATACCTAGTCTTCCAGAAGAACAAATGTATATATATTTTTCAGTTGCGATTCAGATGTGATCATGTAACATGTATCTTTCAGGAGAAACTGCCCAGGTGACCGTGAGAAAGCTCTTTGGGTCATACTCCACATTCTGCAGAAGTGTACTTATCCATCACCTGACATGTTTTGCCTGTCTGGGAGGATCTACAAGGATATGTTTTGGGATTCTGAATGTAAAGATGGTGTCAGCCGAGACAAGGCTATTGCATGGTAAATTAGCACCTGCATCTCTGCAAAGAATAAAATTCAATAGGCTGCCCTCCAGGGTCCTTTCCCATGTGTGTCTGTCTGTCTATCTGTCTGTCTACTTACAATGAAAAACATTTGCTGTGGCCTGGGAATTTCCTTATTCTCTCTTCTAAGTGAAAATTATGAGAAACAGGGTTTTCTGCTGGTCATACTCATCCTATAAGTTCACTAATTTATGAGGCAGAAGACTTAACACATTTCTTTTCGCTCTCCCATTCCAGAACTTTGCTCGCCTCCATTAGGGCACTATTTTCCCAGTAAGCTGTTCATTTATTCATTCATTCAACCAATGTTTATTTATTTTTTTCAACCAATGTTTATTGAGGACTGACTTTATAACAGAAACGTCTTTTCAAAAATTTAAAAAAAAATCTTTTATTTATTTATTTGGTGCAGGGTCTTGCTAGGCAGCTTGGACTTATAGTGATCCTCCTGTCTCAGCCTCGAAACAGTGCTGAGATTACAAGTGTGCACCACCATGCCCAGTTTCGGTGGCCAGTATGGCTCACCTGGGGTCCCGGGGTTGGCATGGCATGTGGTACCAGGGATGGAACCCAGGTCTTTGTGCTTACCTTGTGCAGGCGCTTAGACCACTGAGCTATCTCTCCAGCCCCAGAAACTTTTCTAGATGAGAATGTGGGCACACCAAGGCTCCTTGCCCTCTGGAGCCTTGCATTGTTGGGGAAGAAAGTCAGACAAAGTAAGCTTACAGGCTTTCAGGTGATAGTAAGGGCTATGAGTAAAAGTTAAGGAGGCAGGGGAAAAGAGGGCTTGTAGGGTAGTCTGAAGTGTTAAATAAGGTGGTTGGTAAAGATATAATGGTAAGGGGATAGGCTTCATAGACAAATGGAGAAAGTGTTCCAGGTGGAGAGAACAGCAAGGGCAAATACTTTGAAGAGAAAGTGTGCTGGGCATACTCCAGGATGCTGTGGGATAAGAAAAAGAACAGCATGAAAAGGTAGAGAAATGAGATTGCTTTGTTGTAAGTTGGAAGGCACATCATTGGTAGATTCTGAGCAAAGAAGTGACAAGGTCTGGCATGCACTTTAACAAGACTGTTCTCAATGTTACAGAAAGAATATATTTTAGAAGGTGTCTGAGCTCTGCCTTTTACCATAAAAAATAACCTCAAAAGTTAACAGCTTCAAACAACAGCAATGATTCTGAGTTTTCTAGGTAGTTCCATTGCTGGCTTTGCCCAGGCTCACATCTGAGAGTGGTCAGGCAGTACTGCAAGATTCATGATGGCCCCATGCCATTTCGCAGCTGATGTTATTAGGGCTATGCCTCCCTTTTCTGCTGTGTGGGTCTAAGCCTGATAGACCAGCTTTCATAATGGTAGGTAGCATTCTCAGAGACTGAAGGTAGAAGCTGCAAAGCCTCTTGGAGCTTAGATTTAGGAACTCATATTGAGTCACTTCTGTCATCGACTATTAATCAGAGCAAATCATACGACATGTCCAAATCTAAAGGGTAGTGAATAGATGCACTACAGTTCTATATAGGAGAAATGGTAAAGTAGTGTTGAGATAACTGAAATTTGTGATCATTAAACAGTCTGCCAAAAAGGGAAAGGATAGAAGCAGTGAACATTTAGGTGATTATTACAATAATTTAGGGGCGAACTGATTGTATCTTGAACCCATATAGTAGAGGTAAAAATGGTAAATTGAATTCTGGAATTTTGAAAGTATAGCCAACAGCCCTCCATCAGAAGGACTCTTGACATTTTTGTCTGCTGTCATTTAAATCTAACTGCTTCCCCCCCCCCCGTCCTGCCATATTTGTGGGAGGCTCTGTCATCTACCACCTTCTCTGCATCCACACCCACTTCTCTGGTAATCTCGGCCAATCCCACATTTTGGGACCTTTAGCTTGAGCTCTGAAGCCCTACCACTCTCCTAAACTGTAGCCCTACATCACCCCTTTGACTACGTATTCTACAGAAAGATGGTACAAGTATTTGAGAGTTGATATGTTGAAGGCTAAAGTTGTTTTTTACTTTTACGAAGTATGGCTTCCAGTATTGTGCTTTTGACCATTGTTCACCTGCTTACACTTAAAACTTTTGGCTACTATTTGACTCCTGACCCTCACCTGTCTCCCTATACAGTCAGTCCCAATTTCTAGCTCTTCTGTGTGTCTTCCCTCAGCCTTTGCTAATCTTTTCCCATCATCACGACTCCCAGGAACTTGCATGTTTTACTTCTTTTTTTAACTCATTATTAACTTTATTGAAAATCAAGAATAATTATACAGCAAATTAGAAATTGTGGGCAAATATTGAAATGTGAAAGATACAAGATATAGAAAGTGAATTTTAGAAAAATATTTCTGAAATGAATACATAACATGAGAATAACAATAGATTGCACATTGTAAAAACTATTTCCAAACTTAAATAAATATAACAATAAAAGTTGTCTAAAATAAGCATGAAGAAGAAATTTTAAAGATCAGTCATACAATAGTTCACTGTGTGCCAAAATCAAGAAACTTATATTCATATAATTAGAATTCTCAAAGTAGAAGGGGGTAGGCAATAAATATTTAAAGATTTAAAATTTAATTTAATAAACAATCAAAATGACTACAACTCCATGAATGAGAATGGAAAGAACCCCCCAAAAATAGGGCAAACACTTAAACACAGGAGAAAAAAATGTATACAACAGCAGTATTTCAATTATTCTTTTGTATACAGCAGCAAAATATTTCCATCAGCATACTCTACAAATGGACTTCTCCTGTACCCTATGGATCATGATTCTGTCTGGGTCTATAGTGTGGATATCAAGGAAATAGCAGTAGCTTAGTCCCACAAGTAACACCTGGCCATCAATAAGCATCATGGACACTGTCCACATCCACCACATACTAGAACTTTGTGTGATATCCTATCCCGAAACTGTTAGAAGTGCTGGTCATAGGGCCGGCCAAATAATAGCTCAGCTGATTAAAGCACCTGCAAGCAAGCACAAGGGGCCAGGGGTTTGATACTAGGGCCTGCCCTACCGGGCCCACCCCTGAGGCACATTGAGATGGAGATTGAGACTGGGCTGGTGCAACGCACCTGTAATCCCAGCTCTTGGGAGGCTGTTACAGGCAGATTACTATAAGTTCGATGTATTAGTGAGACTCTGAACACCCTGTAGACCCTTCCCTAAAATACAAAAAAAAAAAGAATTGCTGGTCATATACTTGCCATTCCAGTATTTTTGTTATGTTTTATTCTTAGTAATTCTTTACTATCATGAAAATATTTTTTAGTTGATATTTTTGTATATATTAAACTAATCAAATATCAAATACCATGTGAGTACTCTGAATTGATCACAGATTCATACATATGATACACTACATTCTAGCCTCTTAGTTGGACTCACAATTTAAATTTTTTTAAATTTTTGAATATTTTGAAATATTTAATTTTGAATTTTTTAATGAATTGAATAGTGTTTAATTTTAATTTTATTTTATGATTTATACTGTATCTTTGACTTACAATCTACTTATAAGACATGATATTTTCTCCTAGTATTAGAAACTTTAAAAAGCATATTTTCTTTCTTCTTTTTTTTTTTTTTTTTTTTTTTTTTTGGCAGAACCGGGGATTGAACTCAGACCCTTGCACTTGCCAAGGAAGTGCTTATTCCACTGAGCCATCTCCCCAGCCCCTAAAAAGTATATTTTCATTTTGCATTGATTTTATATTAGTTCTTCCTTGTCTTTTATACATACATGCACACACACACATATATGAAAAAATAGGTATATAATTTGACATAAGATTGATACTGTTTTGTGGAAATCTTCAATGACCTTTTAAATGAGTTTAATATAATTATATTTTACATAGTTCTGCATAACTACTATTTTGAGAGCTCTTTGTTCTTTATCCAGGACCATACAACAACTTCTCTTGCCTTCTGGATTATGGTCTTTGTTATTTTCCATGTTTTATTTTCTTACTAGGAATGTCCTAACAGTGTTCTGTACATGCTCCCTGCTTTGTTTCTCTTCAGTCCATTCTTTACAGATTGATATTTTACTCCTCATAAGGCTCAAAAATCCACCACTGTTGCCTATTCCCTATTACAGTGGTACCTTGGTTCATGAAATTAATTTGTCCTATGATTTTGGAAAAGATGGCTATGTTTGGTGTATGTGGGAAAGATGAATGCAGTTGTGTTGGTCATACAATGCAGAGTTTGTGAACACAATATTTTGCTAAATGCTTTTGTTTATGAATCAAATTATTTGCAAATATAAATGTTCCTAATCCAAGGTGACACTTTGGATTCTTTGGGTGGACCTTCTAAATGTTCTGAGAACTTTCTCCAACCCATCTGTAGCTCTGTTTTCACTACCTATTGTATGTTCAACTGAATGAAAGTTCCTGAGGAGTTCCTCATACTCCTGTCTCTACTACCATTTTCTATGCCATGGGTTCCCTTTCACACTCATGGCTGATATATTTCTAACCATCTTATGTTATAATCCATTCTCTAGAGGGATGTTTCTGTGAGTTCTTTTTGATTTGGATTTGTGTACTTTTAGGATACTTATCATGTCCTTGCATGTTGTTATGGTTTGTGTCTAGGTGTTCCCCCAAAGCCTCATGCAGTCATTAGGGCAGGTTCTAGAGTTTGTGATTAATTTTTGATCCAATGCTAAGATTATGGATGTGAGTCCTACACCCACACTGGGCTGGATGATCTGCATACAAATTTAAGGAAGAGAGAGAGGTCTGCTAGCAGCTGCAGCCACTCCTCGTCCCCTTGGCTTTTGCTGTCTTCTGCCGCCATAAACAGCTGCCTTCTGCCATGTGCCACTCTGCCTTAGAGCTTGCTGAATATAGACTAAATCCTCCACTAACTGTGAGCTAAATAAACCTTTCCTTCCTTAATGTTGGGTGTTGGGTATCTTGTCCCAGCAATAAAAATAAATACATAAATAACAGACAGAATTTGGTACCAAGAATGGGGTCACTTCTGTGACTATATACCTGACCATGTCATTCAAGAGTCTTTGGGAATGGCTTATGGGAAGAGATAAAAATATTTCAGAGATGTTGCCTATAAGAGAAGTGCTGGAATGCCTTTGGCTGTTCATTATAAAAGATTCTGGACAGAGCTCAGAAGACCAAAAGACTGATAAAAAAAAATTCTACCTTTTAAAGACCAGGCTGTGGATGTTTCTTTTGAGAATAAAGACTATATTGGTTGTTGGACTCCAGACAATATGTGTTATGGCTTGGCAGAAAGTTTGTCTACATTTTGTTCGTGTCCAGAGCTTTTTGCCTGAGACTGAGATTAAGCATGGCAGACTGATGCAAAAGAAGTTTCAAGGCAGTCAAATGTTGAAGCAATAGCATGACTTTTGTTGGGGACTTTTAGTCAGATTTATGTTAAAAATCAAGAGCAAGGAGCCCAGCAGGATGATTTAAAATGTGTGTTTGGTGAGAAAAAAAAGTGCCAATGAAGCTGTGGACTACAAAGATAGACCTAACAGAATCTCCATTGCTAAAAAGAAACAAAAAAGTGAAAAAGATGGACTGAGGGCATCAGAAGGAGCAATAGGACTCCACACTTTGCACCCTCAAAACTACAAAAGTAAAAGACTTTGCTTAGAGGAGAAAGCAACAGAGTGTGATATTCTAAAATGGCGGTGGTGGCCAAATCAGGTTCCAAAATATTGGTAACATAGAACATTTGTTCTTCAGAATCAGAGTCAGAGTGCTCAGTAATCCAGCCAAGAGAAAAAAAAAAGACAAACTGCTGCTCCATCTGTCAGCAGACCTTGGCATCATCCACGTGGCATTAGTTCTAGGCACATACAAAATGCAAGGGTTCTGAGGTTAAAAAGGCTTCTATCTAGATTTCAGAACGGGGCCTGAGAGGCCAGGCATTATACCCCTGAGAGGACAGTGTGTAAAACAGAGTAAAAAGCCTAATGTGCCATAAAATTCCCCAAAGTTTAAAAAGTCAAAAATGTGGATCTAAAAATCTACAAATAGAAAACCAAGACAGTCCCCCAAAAAACCATGAGAGCTACAATCAACAAAAGTGCTATAGAGGTACATCCACATGGAGCTCACAATTTGCCACAGATTGCTTCAGATATCCCATGTAAAACTATAAGACTTAATGTTTGCCCTTCTAGATTTTGGACTTGCTTTGGTCTCAATGCTTTGTTTTTCCATTTGTACCTTTTAGAATGGTAATGTTTCCCATGGGTGTTCATTCAGCAGTTTCCTACTGAAGACTGGAGTGCTCAGCCAGCCACAGAAGATTGGTCTGCAGTACCCACTGTGCAGGCCACTGCGTGGGTAGGAACCACTACTGAGTGGTCTTAAGCAGGTCTGCCGATACTTAAGCAAATTGGAGATGATGTTGATAGAAAATAAAACAATTTCTAAAAAAGAAGGATGGAATGGTAATGTTTTTCTGTGCCACTGAATGTTGGAAACGTTTAACTTTTTTGTTTATACAGGGGCTCACAGCTGAGAGTTTGCCTTAGATCTTAGGGCAGACTTAAAAATTAGAGTATTCAGCAATGCTAAAACTGTTAAGACTTTGGCAACTCTTAGAGATAAACTAAATGCCTTTTTCATATAGGGATGTGCATGAGTCTTTAGAGGGCCAAGGGCAAAATGTTATGGTTTGCATCTAGGTGTCCTCCCAAAGCCTCATGCAGTCATTGGGGCATATTCTAGAGTTTGTTTGTGATTAATTCTTGATCCAATTATGGGTGTGAGTGCTACACCCACCCTGGGGAAGGTAATCTACATACAAATGTAAGCAAGAGAGAGGAGAGGCTTGCTCGTGTCCACAGCCACTGCTCTTCCCCTTGCCTTTTTGCTATCTTCTGCCACTATAAATGACTGCCTTCTGCCATGTGCCACTCTGCCTTAGAGCCAGCTGAGTATAAACTAAATCCTCTTGTAACTGAGCTAAATAAACCTTTCCTTCCTTAATGTTGAGTGTCAGGTATTTTATCCCAGCAATAATAATAATAATAATAATAATAATAATAATAATAATAATAATAAACTGAGACACTTGTATTTTATTATTTGTGTACGGATCTTGTCTCCTCCAGAATAGTGTAGGTTCTTGGAAATCAGGGACCTTATTATTTAACCCCAGTAGTACTTATGTGATGTAATAGAATGGAATTATCCAGGGTTTTGAAGGGAAGTTGATGTTTGGTAGAGCTAAAACAGTAAACAGTTTTATTCTCATTTTGGTGGTCAGGAGCGCAACACTCCAGTTCAGGAAATCATTGCTTATGGCCCCTTCAAGAAAGTCAGAAGGGTTTTTCTGCACACCCTTATGAAGGTAGTGGTAGTAGATACAGGACCAAATGTAGTCTCGAGAACATTTGCTCTAGGTGAGACTTGAGGATCATTTAATCCAGACCCTCAAATATCTATGCAAACCATGTAACCCAGTGAGGTGGATGACTGGTATAAGGTCACAGGGATGGTTAGTGACAAATTTGGGACTGTAGCAAACTGGCCTACGCTGCTCATCAGTTCCCTGTCCCAGATACCAACTCTGGGGAACCAGCCTACTCTGATCTTTCCCTATCCATTTGTAGGACCTAATTCTGCTAGTTTGTTTCCCTGACCCAGGGACAAATGAGAGTGAAAGCCAAACAGACACAGAGTTAGCTTAACATGTGGCAGCCAGGGGGCTCATGCCTCTAGTAGATAAAGGAGCCCGTATCGTCCGGCTCATCCTGCCTTTATTCACCTGGACATAGGTACAGGCAGTTAGAGTAACACAGGATTCCTCTGTCTTCCGGTGTACATGCTCAGGAAAGCAACCTCATCTTACCTGTATTGGCTTTTCCCTAGAACCTGCAATGTGCCTTCATCCCTGCATATTGCCTTTTGCCTCTGTGCTCACATGGGCGACCAGTTAGGCCTAAGTTTTCTTCTGCTCTCCCGCACAGGACTGCAATTTTGAGTGGAGTTCCAATCATCTCTGCCCTATTCTCTGTAACTTTTTGTTGGAAGCAAAATTTTTAAAAAATCAAATTTAGTAGGATATGGAATTTTTAAATCCTGAAACATACAGAACAAAAAAAAGATTGGAATTGGAACTTTGGTAATGGGTAGAAAGAACGTTCTTAGTGTTTTGTGGTCTGAGGGAACTTGTATTATGCTCCAAAATTCATAAAGTTTTATTTTAACAGACTTTAAAAATAATTTCCCTCCAAGTATTAATATTTTATTATTGAGTAATATTTTATTATTATTATTCCCTTGTCGCATGAATGATAGAATTACTCTGGGTTTACAAGTCTCAGGTATTAACTGTGTCCCTTAAAGACATTTTTGTGTTATTTATTTGATTGAATCATTTTTCCTAATCACAATAATTATACTTGCTTATGAAGAGAAACTTTATATATAGAAAAGAATAAATATAGAGAGTTAAAGTGGAACTCTTAACCTTTTCTCATACAAATTATATTCCCATAACTTTTTATGTTGTTCTCTATGTGGTACGTCTCTGCCCCCTTCCCTCCCTTTATGCCACTGCTCTCATAACTATTTCAGATACTGGTATTATGACTTTATACATGAAAAAATGATTCCATGTTGTGATATAAACAAATGACATATAGAGAAATGACCTATAATTTATGCCATTTGTATGTAGTAATATACAAGTGGCATCTAATTTGAAAAATGAAATCTAGGGATCAATTTGTGATCATCTTTTGGGGGGTAAGAGTCTATTTTAAATTTCTTTGGAATACTATCATGCAATGTCACTATGTGATCGTTATGTTTTTATTATAAAAATATAAGCCTTGGAGAAAAATGTAAAACTTTCCAGTGTAAGTTACTGTGTTATTTTTTTAAAGAAAGTATTTGTAGTGCTAGGTATATAGCTCAGTGGCATAAGCACCTGCCTGGCAAGTGCAAGGTCCTCAGTTTAATCCCTGGTACCAGAAAAGAAATTTAAAAAGAAAAGTATTTGTGAGGTTCATGTAGATGTTCATGAATCAGATGAAGAAGGAAACTGTAATAAATATTTTCATGAGAAAGTTTTTATTTTTGCTATTATTTATACACTTTCATCCTAACGATATAATAAGAATTTGTATCTATAACAGGTATCGTGAAGGATTCGAACTCCAGCCATCGTTTTATTCTGGAATTAATCTTGCAGTTTTGCTGATAGTTGCTGGACAACAATTTGAAACTTCTGCAGAATTAAGAAGGATAGGTAAAGTTTTTATTATTATTATTATTATTATTATTATTAAAGATGTTGATGCTTTGGTTACAAAAGTTTAGCATTAAAAATTGTATCCAAGGGCCAGTCAGATAGCTCAGTGGACTAAAGCACCTGCTTAGGCAGTGCACAGCGACCAGGGTTTTGATCCCTGGCATGCCCCCCGCCCCTGGGACACACTGTGATGGTGATTGAGACTGGGTGTGGTGGCATGCACCTGTAATCCCAGCACTTGGGAGGCTGAAAATAGGAGAATCACTATGAGTCCAATCTACATAATGAGACCCTGTAGACCCTGCAGACCCTGTACCAAATACATGAAAAACAAAATTGTATCCAATTGGGCTGGGGAGTTAGCTCCATGGGTAGAACATTTGCCTAACATGCACAAGGCTCTAAGTTCGATCTGCAGTACCACCAAAACTAAATTTTAAAAAATTATGTCCAAATAACTAGAGTTACATTTCAAAAAGAACAATTATTTTCTGACATCACACCTAAGACAGCAACCAAAATAAAATGTCCACTTATTCTCTACCTAAAGTCTTTCATACAATGATAGGAACTAGAAGAGATTTTCATGACCTCTTTAAAATTGAAATTTTGAAGGTTTCTACCTGAACAATTTGCTGGAAAGAAAAGGATGTGTGAAGAAAATGAGCCATTACTGGGATGTGAGTTACTATTTCATACTTGCTATGCTGACCAATAATACTGAGAATGCAATCCTGGCAGTGGAGAGGTTGTTCAGATTGAAACCTCCAGTCTGGTAAGTCTTACCTTTTCCTTGTCATTGCCCATTTCAATATCTGACCTTGTTCTGAAATTCCTTCCTTAAGGAAAAAAGGTGGAAATACACAAAAGAATAGTAGATTCTGTGTTTCTCTTCCTTCTTCATTAAAGTAGTTATGGCAGACAAAACAGCTGAGAGCTCACTGCATTTCATTTATGTAAAGGGAGGGAGAGACAGACATGAACACACAGAATAAATCCTTGCGCACTGTCCCTGACATTAGACTCTCAACACTATTAACTTCTTGAGGTTTTCTAGGTCCTCAAGAGCAAAATATTCTTTGTTGCTTGTTTGTAATTATGTATTTGTGAGAAAACATATAGTAAAGCTTTAAAATCACACCAAGAAAATTATATTCATAACAGATGAATACTGGAACTAAAAGGGCAATATTAGAGTATGGTCAATATAAAGACAACACAACAGTAGCCTAAAGCTAGGCCACTATGCAGCCATTTAAGTGTGTAGGCAAGAATACTTAAAAGACATGGAAGTGGGTTCATGGTTTATTGTAGAATAAAAAGCCAATTGCAGGCTTTTTCCTTTTTAGTGGCTTTCAATATTTATCATACATCAAAATCACCTGTGCTGATCAAAATACAGATTACTGGGCCCATCATCAGGTTTTCTAGTTCAGTAGGTGTAGGATAGAGCCTGAGAATTTGCATTTGCAAATGACATGCTGATGCTAGGTCTGGGGAACCACACTTTGAGAACCACTTCTCTAGATGATCTTGTTTTTAAAAATAATTTTATTGAGAAACAAATAGCAATGAGACAGTTTCAAAACGATTTTTACTAGCATGGTTTCAATAATTAATACATTGCATATTGTTGTCTTAGTGGCTATTCATTGTACAAGAGGCAGACATGATATCCTGTCCACAAACACTAGTAGAACAAATCTCTCTATTCATTGAATTAAGAGAATGAAGCTGTATAACTAGCCATCCGTGAAATGCAAATTAAAATAACACTGAGATACCATGTCACCCCAGAAAGAATGGCTATCATAAAGAAATCATCCAACAACAAATGTTGGAGAGGCTGTGGGGAAAAAGGAACCCTTCTCCACTGCTGGTGGGAATGTAAACTGGTGCAACCATTATGGAAATCAGTGTGGAGACTCCTTATAAAACTAGGACTGGAAATCCCATTCAAACCAGCTATCCCCCTACTGGGAATTTTCCCGGAGGAACTGAAAACGTCATATTGTAGTGATATATGTGTACCTATGTTTATAGCAGCACAATTTGTGATAGCCAAATCTAGGAAATAACCAAGATGTCCATCACCTAAGGAATAGATGAAAAAGAAGTGGTTAAAAAAGGGTAAAAGATGTATTTTTATACAATGGAGTATTATTCCGCTATTAAGAATGATAAACTCGAAGCCTTTATATTTAAGTGGATGCCACTTGAAGATATACTTATAATTGAAATAAACCAGACCCACATGTGTAAATATCATATAGTCTCCCTAGTACAAGAACTCAAAAGAAGAAATAAAAATAGTAAGGTATAGCACAATTAAAAGGAAAGCAAGAACTTGAGGATTAGACAATGAAGAGAAGGCAAGGAGAAAAGCTAGGAAACATGACAGGAGCAAAGCCATATATTTATATGCATAAGATGGGTAAGGCAATGATCCTGAGAATCTTCAGCAGGTTTTTGAAACTAGCAGTTAATTGGTACAAATCTCAACCTGACTAACTATACATGCTGATACCTGTGAACTAAGCAGCTACACCGAAGATAGCAATGTGTAATACTAGGGCCATGCTTGGAATGCCTGTCATTCTGGTCTTCTAAATATGTGCTGCTTGTCATGACATACCAATTACTGCCATACTGTCTCTCAAGTAAATGTTTATTTTTTTAAAAAAGGGTAATAAATGAAAACAAGAGATGAGAAAAAATGTCACAGGATTGTCCTGCTACAATGCTGTATATGGTTAGATTTCTAAATTTCTGTGTAAAAAATATGTAACTGTTTAGATGGTCTCATTTTATAGATACACATTGGTATGTGACTCACAGGGGAAGATCTGGGCGTAATAGCCACTTCCTTTGGGGGTAGGGTACCAGGGATTGAATTCAGGACCTTGTGCTTGCCAGGGAGGTGCTTATGCTGCTGAGCTATCTTCCCAGCCCCTTGGTAGTGGCCACTTCTGACTTCCCCATAGACATAAAGCTCTATTATCAGAATTGAAGTTACCTTGTTGATAGCTACAGTGTCATAATATATGTTCAGTATTTATACAATGATTAAGGGATAAATGAGGAATTTTCTTGAAAAATATTGGCTGGTTATCTCAGGAAAATAACCTTGTAAGAATTTTCCAATCTGTTTTATCGCTTATCTGAATATTCTAATGATTCTAAAATGCTAATGGATGACAACTTGAGTGTTATCTAAAATGTTTGGGACCACAAAAGTGTTTCAGATGTGGGAATTGATTTATTATTTTGGAATATTAGCATAGACCTTATCAGTTGAGCATCACTACCTCAGATATGAAATGCTTCAAAACTCCAAAATTTTGACTGCCAACATAATGCTCATAAAGTATTAGATTTTGGAGTATTTTAGTTTTCGGATCCTCAGATTAGGAAAACTCACACCATACTTGAATAATTTTTTTCTTCAGTGTTAATGGCTCTGTTTATTTGCTCTGCCCATACTACTCAGGATAAAAATTGTAGTAGACTTACAGGACTTTTGGAGCCCACATTACTCAAGAAATAAATCATAGACAGTTTTACAAGAACTCCAGAGTACTTTTAATAGGGCCTTTACTGCAGCACAGGGGGCTCTTTCATAGGAGGGAGGTCTGTAGACTAAAATCCCATACTTGAATATTTTTTTGAACTTTACTTTTAATAATCCATGTTAATTTGCCACTTATTTTCAGTTTAGTACTCTAGTTCACTTCCCAGAAGTAGGAATCTTTTCAGCCATACCTAGTTTGATTCCATTTCTTCGCAGTCCAAAGGATCTTAAATTTGTCTCAGAAACCATGTTATCTTCTTGAGAGTTCTCTGAGGCTGAGAGAACACTAAGTGAGGATGGCTTCCAGCCTACCTATGACAGCTTCTGTATGCAGAGTCTGAATATTAAGTCATATTCCTGAATCTAGATCAGATATTGCTGACTGTAGGTGAGAAGACCCTAGGGTTGGAAGCACTCTCATTATATGTGCACCTAGACTGACTTATAATGTTGTTGCTTATTGTCAGAGGCCAAGATCACTGAGACATTTCCTATAGTCACTTGAAATATCCTTCCTACTAAAAGGTTCCTAATTCTCTGGAAAGACCCATAGAACCAAAAAACTATTATACTTAGAGCTATGGTTTATTATAATGAAAGGATGTAGATTAAATTAGCCAAGGCAAAAGGCAGATAAGGCAGAGTCTAGAGGTGACCATGCACAAGCTTCCAGTGGTCTTCTCCCAGTGGTACCATATTGGCAGTGCTTAATTCTCCTAGAAGTGATATGTGATAACATACAAGAAATATTTCCAGTCAGGAAACCCCACCAAGCCTTGATATCCAGGATTTTTGTTGAAGGTGAACCACATAAGCATGGAGTTCATGTAATTGATCATATTATTGGTATAAACTATCTGACATGGCTGAAGACCTCAGATGAACACACACACACACACACACACACACACACACACACTCACACTCACACTCACACTCTCACACTCTTACCCTTAGCAGAAAAGAGCCTATAGGAGATGTCTCGGTATCCAGTCCAGAACCAGACCTTTCTCTGGAATGTGTAAAGTTTGGATAGCCAAGGCCTGATGAGTACTAAAACAAGTCAGTTGGAGTCTGGTCTGCCTTCCCAGGATAGATTAGTCAGTAAAATAATGATAAGATGCTTTCAGATAAACTATCCCCATTTAGTACCAGCGAGGATGTGACCACTACTGCGTGACAATTATATTTCAAAAAGCTTAATTTGCCTGAGGTCATCGTAGGTGTGGGTAGAGTCAAGATTCCTTAGCATTAAAAATTTGCCTATTTAAAAATAAATTCAGGGCTGGAGAGATAGCTCAGCAACATAAGCACCTGCCTGGAAAGCATAAGGTCCTGAGTTTGACCCCCAGTACCAAAAATAAAATAAAAATAAAAGTAGAAATAGAAAATAAAAAACAAATGTGGACAGTAAATTTAAGATTAGTGATTGCCAGTGATGAAAATGAGGATGGGGGTGGAAAGGAAGTAGGAATGACTGTAGAAGAGCAACATGATGGACTTGCAGCAATGGCAACATCCTCCCTGGGATACCAAACTATAGATTTGCAAGATGTTGTCATTGTACAGATAAACTGGGTCAGGAGTTTAAACGTTCTCTGCATGATTTCTTACAACTTCATATAAATCTAAAGTCATCTCAATAAAAACACAATGGGTTGAAATTGTATAGTTGTTTTGACTGAAGAACTATTTGCTTTTGTTATTGAAGATAGTTATCACATGTTTTCCAATCATTGCACTTTAGATACTATATACTGAAATTGAGTCTATAGACCAGTGGCTGTAAAAAACCATGTTGTGGTTTTGTTGAACTGCTTTATTTTACATACTGTTTGGGTTTCTTTTAATTAATTATGTGGCTGCCAAATCATTGTTTTTGAAGTGCTCGTGACATATTATGAATTTAAGTATACTCTAAAAAGTTTCAAGAATGCTTCTTTTAAAGAGAACAGAATTGAGTTTCTTTAGGAATCTAATTCATGAATTTTTGTGACTCTTTTCTAGGTACCTGCAATCATTAGTTCAGAACTTATTGTTAATTCAGCGCTTTACGAGATTTGATACTGAGCATTCACCCAGGCAAGAACATCTTAAGTTCTGGTTAGATATACTTTTTGAATCAACAACCGAAGTTACTAATGGACTGAGATTTCCAGTAAGATATGCTAAATCTCAATCCCTATCTCCCTCCCTCTCTTTCCCTCCCCTTCTCCCTCTCCCTTTTATTTTTCTCTCTTTCCTTTCTTTACTCCTCTTTCCCTCCCTCCTTTCCCTTTTCTTTTCTTTCATGCTGGGAATGGAAACCAGGCCCTGTGTGCTAGGCAAGCACCTTTACCACTGCAATACATCTCCAGTCCTTAATTAATTTCATTAAGAAAGACACAGGAAAATTAGAATTTGTGTTATCTAAGGATTGCATTCTCTGAAAGGGAGATAAACATAATTTTTTAAACTTTTATCTTATTAGTATATTTTTACAGTACATGAAGTTTACATTTATCTTAGGGAATAGGTACATGTACATGACGTATCTTGATTATTCTTTATTCCACTTTAATTCCATCTCCCTGCCTCCATCTTTAGATCTTCTTTTCCCATTTTCATTATTATTTTTATTAATTTATGTTGAGAACATAGGTTTATATTCATTGTGGGTATTTGCTACATGTACATGATGCATTTCAAATCTTTTTACATCTCCTTCCCTTCCCTCTTTTCCCTCGCCCTTGGCCTGGTAGACCCCTTCACATTTGCAAAAGATCCATCTCCCTGCTTTCTCTTATCAGTCTTTTATTTTGCTTCTTACTTGAACTTCAAATTACGCAAATGACAGAAACTATATACAGTATTTAAGCTTCCCTATCTCATTTATTTCATTTAATATTTTATTTTCCAGATGTATCCATTGTCCTACAAATTTATGTCTCAAATTTATCCTTTATGTCTGAATGTAGTACTGTATTATGTATAGATAGCCTATTTTCTTTATTCTTCTGATTATAGAATACATGCTTTCCAGGATTTAGCTATTAGGAAATATGCTGCTATAAACT